ACAGGGTGTCCCCGGGGTGTCCCCAGCATGGGGGTCCCCAATACTCGGTGTCCCAAGCACAGGTGTCCCTGGAGTGTCCCCAACACCGGGTGTCCCCGGGGTGCTGCCCCTGGCACAGGGTGTCCCCAGGGTGTCCCCAACAGCGAGTGTCTCTGGGGTGCTGCCCCCGGCATCGTGTATCCCTAAGGTGTCCCCAACACCGGGTGTCCCCAGTACGGGTGTCCCCAGGGTGTCCTCAACACCAGGTGTCCCCGGGGTGCTGCCCCATGCACAGGGTGTCCCCAAGGTGTCCCTAACACCGGGTGGCCCAAGTACGGGTGTTCCTGGGGTGTCCCCAACACTGGGTGTCCCTGGGGTGCTGCCACCGGCACAGGGTGTCCTCAGGGTGTCCCCAACACCAGGTGTCCCCAGGATGCTGTCCCCAGCACAGGTGTCCCCAGCACAGGTGTCCCCAGGGGGTCCCCAACACTGGGTGACCCTGAGGTGCTGCCCCTAACACCAGGTGTCTCCAGGGTGCTGCCCCTGATACAGGTGTCCCCAGGGTGTCCCCAATACTGGGTGACCCCGGGGCGCTGCCCCTAGCACGGGTGTCCCTGGGATGTCCCCAACACCGGGTGTCCCCAGCAGAGGTGTCACCAAGGTGTCCCCAGCACAGGGTGTCCCCGGGGTGTCCCCAATACTCGGTGTCCCAAGCACAGGTGTCCCTGGAGTGTCCCCAACACCGGGTGTCCCCGGGGTGCTGCCCCTGGCACAGGGTGTCCCCAGGGTGTCCCCAACAGCGAGTGTCTCTGGGGTGCTGCCCCCGGCATCGTGTATCCCTAAGGTGTCCCCAACACCGGGTGTCCCCAGTACGGGTGTCCCCAGGGTGTCCTCAACACCAGGTGTCCCCGGGGTGCTGCCCCATGCACAGGGTGTCCCCAAGGTGTCCCTAACACCGGGTGGCCCAAGTACGGGTGTTCCTGGGGTGTCCCCAACACTGGGTGTCCCTGGGGTGCTGCCACCGGCACAGGGTGTCCTCAGGGTGTCCCCAACACCAGGTGTCCCCAGCACAGGTGTCCCTGGAGTGTCCCCAACACCGGGTGTCCCCGGGGTGCTGCCCCTGGCACCCAGGTTTCCCTCCCATCCCAGCATGTCCCCATGCCCCAGGTGTCCCCGCTTGCCCCACGTGTCCCCATGCCCCACATGTCCACCCATGCCCCATGTGTCCCCCTCATCCCGTTGTGTCCCCATGCCTTGATATGTCCCCCTATGCCGCAGGTGTCCCCCCATGCCCCAGGTGTCCCCATGCCTTGACATATCTCCCCATGCCCCAGATGTGCCCCTCAATCCTGACGTGTCCCCATGTCCCACGTGTCCCCCACTGCCCCAACATGCCCCATGCCCTAGGTGTCCCCCCATGCCCTAGGTGTCTCCCCCATCCTGACGTGTCACCATGCCCCAGATGTCCCCATGCCTTGACATGTCCCCCCATGCCCCAGGTGTCTCCCCTTGCCCCAGGTGTCCCCACGCCCAG